TAATAATGTCTATAACTAAAAATTTGCTAACTTTTTTAATTGGGTAGAAAGGGCTATGAAACTTACTTTTAAGGAACATAAAATTGTGGGTGACAAAGGCGGTAGATTCTAGTATTGAGTGAGGTAGCATTTTGGAAAAATAACATAGAAAATCAAATTACTAGAGTTGAAAAGATACATGTAGTTTTCATACATGCGCATACACAAAAGGGAGATTATCTATCTATCTATCTATCTATCTATCTATCTATCTATCTATCTATCTATCTCCTTTTTGCCTTTCCCCAATTTAGTTAAAATGTAGTAGGTTTTTAAAAGATTGTTTTTACCATACAGTATATTTTAACCTAGCATTTTAGAAACATTTGACAAACGGATAGATAAAAATCTTGTGAGGATGTTACTTTGTATTTTCAGATGTTGTGCACTGGAATTTATATTATTTCTCTTGAAATAACTATTTCTTAAATTTAATGCTTAAATGAAACAAAACAAAAGAAAACCTTGAATTTCTTGGTAGTCCTCATGCCCTCCTGTAATCCTTAAGTATATGTTAACTAGTTTCAGATGTGTTTTGTTCTCTGACTCAAAATCAGCCCTTTATTTTAAAAAAAGAAATTGTGTAATTAGTACTTAATTGCTTTGGATATTTTGGGCATTTAGAGGAGAGGATAATTAAAAGGCCAGAGAAATTAAATGTTCACAGTGTTCTTTATGTATATGTAATTTCTTTTTTAAAATGCCCTCTAAATGCAGTCCTGACAATTTAAAAATAAATGACAAAAGACCTAAGTTGTTTTTTAAAATTTAACATCAGTTTTATCTGTGAGTGCAATTTTGTTGATTTTTTTTTTAACTCAGTTGAAGAGAAAGAACCCTAGAAATCTAGTTCATCTTCTCTTCAGGCAGGTGTCATCACCTACGTAATATCTGGCAGATAGCTATCACCTTTCCTGTGATCTTTTGGGAGAAAAATAAGAATTTTTTTTCTTCACTTCATAAATATCACATTTGATCAAATTTAAATACTTGGATTAACTAAGAATGGAATATAATCTAGTGGAACAAATGAGAACTTGGTTGATCTGCAATCTAGCCTGAATCTTTAACTATTTGAGAGATGTAGGTTTCTGGATCTTCATCAGGTATAAATTGGAATGTTAGATTAGTAATCTCTAACACTTTGCAAACTCAGAAATAACTGTGTTTCATTAGGCACACAATATCAAAAGGCTAAGATTTTGTGGATCCAGAGACTCACAAGTCTGCTAAGAAATAAGAATTTATTAATTCTGATAATGAACATATGAACTGTGACATTAATATATTTGGTGTTTTTAATACATATCTTAAACCAAAAGAACCTTCATCTTTGCTATATTCACTGTTTAGATAGGTCTACAGGATTTGGAGCTTGATTTTATATTGATCCCCAAGCATTTGGGGAGGTTACCCTAAAAATGCTATTGTAAATAATTATCACTACTTACTTTTCCTCTTCCTAACTAATTTTATTCTTCCTTTTTTCTTAATCCTGATCATTTTTTTTTTGAAGATTTATTTATTTATGCATACAAGAACTAGGGTACAGGCCAGAGGTGCAGGGGGTGAAAAGATTCTCCAGAGACAGAGTGGGGAGCAGAACAGGCAGACTGACAGAAATACACTGCTGAGGAGAGCAGCGGGCAAGTCAGGAGAGGTCTGCCATGCCATGTGGGTAGCTCCCTGGCTGGAGATCAATTTTATGCTACAATGGCTGCAGATAGCTTCACAGTGCTGTGCCACCAGGGAAGCCCCTCATATATTTTCTTGAAGAAAACAGCAAGTTACTTATTTCTACTTGGGAATTTCAAAGAAACATAAAGTAACCTCTTGGCTAAAATAAGTGTGAAGAGCTGTAAGAACCTGGATGAAATACATGATTCTCCAGGAAAATATAAATTGCAAAATTAACTGAAGGAGAGAGAAAACATCTGAATAATCACCAAAAGAAATAGGAAAATAACCACAGAGCTGCCTACAACAGCCATGCCAGGCCCAGCCTGCCTTTATGGAGGAATTCTCTCCAAACTTTCAGGACTGGATAAATCCTTGAATGTTAGTCAAAATATCACAGATCAAGAGAAAAGTAGAACTTTCAGTGATTATCGAAAAAGGAGATGAAGTCCCTTTTATGCTCAAGATGAACCTCAGACCAGACAACTGGGAGCAGGGATGAAAGATACCTGTGAAAGTTAGCAAGTAAAACCTCGATATCTGGGCCATGTTTGTTGTCCCTGAATCATGTTGATTCATGGGGAGTTAAATAAGGAACAAAAATTACTAAGTCTATCTAGGTAGGCTTTGTGGTAAACATGGATATTCATAAAGTGCATTTATATTTTGTGTTATTACCCATTTTGAGCAAACTGTAAGTGAGGGCCCCTGAATGTGGGGCAAGTTTTAAAAATTGAAAAGGAAACATTTCCTATCTTCAAAACAGAGGCTTCAGGCCCAGTGTGTGACAGATAGGCCCATCACAAGACAAAGGAATAAACAGAGAAGGAGGCAGAGGGGAAGTATTGTGGGCTGATGACTAAGCCATAACCTTCAGATCTTAGAGTGGGAACCCTGACCACCCAAATGGTCAACTAAATTTTAAGTCCATAACCAATAGTTTGAAAAGCAATCTAGTGGTAAGGAGTCTTCCAAGAACGAGAGACCAGGAGATAAGCATAACACAAAGGCCAAGAAATCAGGCCAGATGGATAGGGCTGACCTGAAAAATCTCCCAGTGATAGTGATGATCAGTGATAGAAACTTTTCCTTGGGCCAGGTGAGCAAGGCCACCTGTTTATTAACACTACTTCCTGTTCTTGAACTATCATTTCCTCTAACTTTGCCAAGATGTTCCTTCCTCCTTACTTAGAAAATCTAGGAAACAGTGTGATGGTTGAAACAGGGGCTATAAGGCAATGAAAGAGTCAGAAGAGGGGAGAAGATGCCCAATAAATAACATAGTGTTTCAAATGAATGGAATAACTTCTTACTATTAAAAAAAAATAGTGTAATGTCACTGGTGGTGACACAGATGGTATGAAGGTACCTTTTTGAGTCCAGTCACTATTGGATCAGCTGTGTTCTCAGAGCTATGAGGAGAAGAAAAGGTATGGTTGTGCTGGGAAGTTTTCCACAGAAAGGTAGAAGTTTTCCTAGCCTCATCTTATGTTTCCTATTTAGGGTTTGGGGCTTGGGTTTTTTCATTTTTACGTTAAGGAAGTCATGAAATTTAAATTGTAGGTATTGTGACAGTAATTTTGGTGCAGTGAATAAGAATGCAACATCTGCCTTTTACAGGGATTTTTAGCATGTGCATTTGGATTGTGTGGTGACCTTTGAAATTTTGTTTTGAGCCGCTGTCAAAAACATAATCATTTTTCTTTCTGAAACAGATTTTCACATCTGCAAAGGTTGATCAAACTAGGATAGTTTTAATAAAATATTAATCTCTCTTTTTAATGTCAACCCAACTTTTAAAACTGTTCATCAGCTACCTAAAACATCCACTCAAGGTGCTTGAGTTGATTTTAATGAATGCATTTTGCATTAAATATTCTTATTGTGACCTGAGTGCATCTAGAGGCTAGAAATTTTTTCCGTCTTGGTCCACAGCCCAGTTTCCAAATTCTCTTGTTTAATTACTTAATTTGTATTTCCTTATCTCAACAGTTAAATTTTGCTATATTCCAAGAAGGAGAGATTGTTCTAAATTCTAGCATCCTTCAAAATCTGGCTAGTAAAAGGATTTTGACTTTTAACAAAATTTAGCTTAAATATCTAGCTTACATATGTGTCCTGTCATTAAAAGGTTATTTACCTTTAAAATGCTGACCTTTCAAGATGTACACAAGAGTGTTCTAAAACAGAGTTTCTGAACATTGGCCATGAAACCACTGTCTTGGGCTGACAAATGGATTGGAAATAAGCTACCCAACACTGGGAATGGGCCATTAATTTTAATCAAAGGTGATGCAGGAAGGCGAATGGGATGCATGACAATGTCAACAGCCCAGTAGGTGTTAAGAGACCACACAGCCTTCCTTGTTATTTGGTTGGGCCATTAGTTGAGGTTGGGTGAAGACAGAATGCCATGTCTGGAATTGAATGACCAGGTCACTCCAAAATCTAATGGAGAAGTCCTCATTTCAGAAATCACATTGTAATGCCATTAGAAGTCAAGGACAGCATTTAGAAAATATTGGACAGCGTGTTTTTTAACCAAGCACCTAGCTTGTTTTTTTCCAACTTTGTCAAGCTCTCTGTTTTCCTGCCTCCTTTCCTTCTGAATGGATCATTGATATTTACAGAGGATCAAGAAATCGAACAGACTTGGGAAAAAAAATCTCAAAGCCTGTTTGCTTCTAGAATTACATATTGTTAGTTGTAAGACTCTGGTAAATGCCAGAAACAATAGCATACTGAAAGAATTAAGCAGGGTAATTAATTCTCCGTGGTGGTGATGTCATTGTCTTTGTCCCTTTCTTGTGTTCTTGTGTGTAGGAATAGTTTCACTAATTGAAACTAAACTTTCTTAATTGCTTTAATGAAAGCATTTGTTTTATAATTGTAAAGGCCGGTGTGCTCATGCCATACTGTAAATTGTCAATATTGTCTGATAACATTAGTGGTATTCATGGTGGTGAAAACCTTTCTCTTAGCCAGTAAGTATATTTCATTATTTTGAGTATTTTCAATTATAAAAAAGGTAGCATATGACAGCTTGAATTAATGATGTTTATAATAAAGACATAAAAATGCAGAAGGGACAAAGAGGCATTTTTATATCTCTGCTTCAGGTTTGTTAAGAAAGTTCATTTATTCTGACACAGCATTGCATACATAAGAAAGATATGTATGACTGCTTTAGTAATTTTTGCACATTTTTAAGAAAGAAAAGCAATTATATTGCTGTCTTGTTAATGATATACTGTTATAAGTAATAATATTTGTTCTTCCTATAGATGAAGATCAGCTCCGTGCAAAGGGTTATGACAAAACCCCAGACTTTATTTTACAAGTACCAGTTGGTAAGTCTCTAAACTCTGTTGTACATTTGTCCGTAGAGAAAAGGGATGTGTTTTTTAACTCTTTTTATTATGTATGAATATTTAAAAATGTAACCAGAGTAGGTTAGTTTTATAATATTGCATCTAGACAAGACGAGATAGTTGGACAAGGTTATTTGAACAGAAAATAATACATTCAGATGAAATCTATGCCTTAAAAACTTTTACATATATTTGAGAAATAAACTGGTGTGCTAAAGACATTTTGGTTGTTATTTTTAAGTCATTTCTCTTAAAATACTGAATTTTTAAATTGTGGTTCTCCTGATAAACCAGGCTCTTTTTGGTTTGCTTTCATAGTATTTGTCAACTTAGACAGACAGGCTTAAGACCAGGGGAAGGATTTTTAAGATGATGATGAAGCTGTAAGGGATGTGATTGTAGCAAAAGTGTTCCTTGTAATAAACACATATAATGTTTTGTTTTATAATCACATCCATAGATGACAATAAGGGCTCAGTCTTTGCTCATTAATGTGAAGCATAGAGGGTTCAGAACAGAGCTCAGAATTTTCCATCTTTCCTTCCCTTTGCTCTATATTAGTAATGCTTTGTCCCTTAGCTGTAGAAGGGCACATAATTCACTGGATTGAAAGCAAAGCCTCATTTGGTGATGAATGTAGCCACCGCGCCTACCTGCATGACCAGTTCTGGAGCTACTGGAATAGGTAAGGTCCCATTATTTTTCTCTTAAGATAAACGATACTCAGCTAAAATCTCATTAGAAAAAATATTTTGTTTAGCTGGTAAAACTGCTCATAGCCTTTGTTCTAGTAAATACGGAGACTTGATTAATGTATTCATTTCAGATAATTTAAACTTTTCTGCTTTCATAATGTTGCTTCATTTTTTAAAACCAAAATTCTCAGCATAAGGTCAAAATTAGTATAGACTCCGTTTTCCATTTTCCAGGGATTACATTGATGTCACTTAAAACCTGAATGCTGAGATGTGGTACATATTATGATATTGACACAGACTTTTTTTGTTGTGGAATTTGTACTTGTTGTCAGGCCTTAAAAACTATTTCATCCTCAGCTCTCTGAGGAAAGTATCCAAATGATTTGAAAGATCAAAACAGTTTACTGTCCAACAGTAGAAAACAGTTTACCTACCAACTTCAATCCACAAATTCCAGAAGGCATGGAAATCTCCGTGGTTTCATTAAAAAGGTGGTGTTGGAGGAGGGGAAAGGATGCTCTATTATTGAGTACCCCTACACCCCACCCTGTGCTTGGGCCCGCAGATGATCTTTGTTAATCCTCACAAGGAAGTTACTTTTTTCTTATTTCACAGATAACTAGATTGATACTTAAAGAAAATAACATGCCTAGCTAGTTAGGCAGGGTTTGCATTAGAGACTTGCACTCCCAGCCCGTGCTGTTTCCAGCTCTAGTATCATTTACAGTACAACTGTTGCAACTTGGACTTTTTCTTATCACACCACTCATTTGTTTCCCCTTAGAACAGGAGGAGGGTCAAGTGGTAACCTTCTTAGATTAACTGTGTTCCTCGGTCACTGGCCAGTGGTGAGAATAGAGTAAGAAGATGACACTGGCTCGCATCATTAAGGAAGGAGACAGTAGCATCTGCAGACAGTAGTCTTATCCTGAAAAAAGAAACTGTGACAGGCTACTGAATTTGGCATTATATTGTTACTCAGCTTTACAAAAGGCCAGCGGACATCGCCCGTAGCAGCTGTGCTAAACTAAGCCCACTTTTTGCCATGGTAACAATGATCATGACAAAATGCTGAATGTAATGGCTTTCTTGATTTTCTTGTGTAATTGTGCGTAGCATTCGAGCTTTACTTTACAGGGGTGGAGGAGGAAAGTGCAAAATGTTTTAGAAATCAATGCTGCTTCAGCGTTTCCTATGTCTTTTATTCAGCCATTATTCAAATTAGCAGTAATGTGGCAAATTGAATTTTAGATTTTTAGCAATTTTATGATGAGTTTGAAATAGTAAAGAAAGCATCATTTTTGATAGTATAGGGAAAGCAATGACAAGAAAATTGTGTAAGTTTAGGTGGCTAAAGGATTTTAAAAACTGATAAACTGAATCATTATGCATTGAAACTAACCCCTGCCTCCCATACTGGTCAAATCTTTTATGAGACATAATTACAAATTGAATGCCAAATAATAGCGCTTACTTTAGAATGCCGAAAGCGTATCTCCATTCTAGAATAATGACCTTTTTAGTGCCTACTATGTGAGTAGCACTCACTGGTTTAGTGGTTGATTAAATGTTCTAGTCATCTGAACTGTAGACCTGTGGATTATTAACCTGACCTGAGGGGATCTGAGCGCTGGATAGCTTAATACAGTTTCCTCTGGATTGGATTTTAGATTATTTTGTTTCATTCTATTTTTCTATCCTAATCATGTTTCATGTGCACTACTATTGATTTACTTTCCCTAAACATATTCTTTGAATATATACTAAGTGGTCATAATTTATTTTGGGAGTGTTGTGAGATAAGGGAAAACCAGCCTTGGTCTGGAACACTCCCGATCACTCAAGGGGAAAATAAATATTACATAAAAGTCACTGGTATTACAAATGTCTGCAGAGAGACCAAGAAGTGCAAGTAGTACTGAAATTCAAAGTGGAACATAGGGCCTCCCTGGTGGCCTCGGGGTTAAGTCTCTATCACCTCTACAGCCTGAGTTTGATCCCTGGCCAGGGAGCTAACCCACATATGATGCAGCAGACCTGTCCTGTCTCTCCGGCTGCTCCCCTTAGCAGTGTATTTCAGTAGATCCTCTTGTTCTGCTCCCTACTCTGTCCCAGTAAATCCTCTCACCCCCACACCTCTGGCCTATAACCCAGTTCTTTTATGCAAAAACAAATAAATTATTTTTTTAAAATGGAACATAGAGACATTTACTTGGATATAAAATTTTGGTTATAATAATGATGCCAATTTACCACTGATGGGACCTTTAGATGGGACAACTTAACCCAATTATGCAAATATGGGATCCTATTCATTTCATAGTTTGATGCAACACAGCTCACAAAGTAGGTGCTAAAGTTCTTCAGAGTTGGTAGAACTCATCTATTCCTTCTCTAGGTAGCCTTTTAAAGAGACTGTTGGTTGTCATTTGTGCTAATTGTTTTATTTGTGTGATTAGCCTCTAGTGGACATGAAAGATGTCACCACATTATCACATTATAGGAGATTAAACCGTGGATTTCACTATGGTTCAACCATGACCATGGTTTCTACAGTGAGATTGTTGAATCGTGACCATATATAAATCCATTTTTCCACACAAATAACCACAAAACCCCTGATTTTTAGTTTAATATTTCCGTAAAAATTCTCTTTTGATATCAATTCGTATTTATATTCAACCTTTTGACACCTTTTGATGAAGTTGCTCACACCCTCTATATAAGACATTTTCTTTTGTTGGTTTCCAAGATGTGTTCATTATTCTGCGGCTTTTCCTGCTGATGTAGCCATATACTCAGTGTCCTTTGCCGGCTCTCCTTACTCTCCCTGGAACTCACTTCATCCCTCCCTTTTCTTTTCTTTTTTTTTCATTTATACAAGAACCTGGTACAGGCCAGACATGCAGGAGGGTGAGAGGATTCACCAGAAACAGAGTGGGGAACAGAACAGGCAGAAGGACCGAAATACACTGCTGAGGGGAGCAGCAGGTGAGATAGGAGAGGTCTGCTGCGCCATGTGTGTATCTCTGTGGCCGGTGGGGAATCGAACCAGCACTGCAGAGGCTGCGAACAGCTTCACAAATGCTGCGCTCAACCGCCTGCGTCACCAGGGAGGCCCCACCCCTCCCTTTTCTATCTCCATTCACTCCCTGCCTGTTCCCTTGGAGATCTTTATATACTATTTCCACGCTGGTATCTCCTGATTTTTACCTTCAGCCCTGTATTTCCCTGGAATACAAGTTTGTCTATCCAGTCATCCCCTCAGTATCTCCTCTTGGATATCAAATTGTTATCTCAGATTTAACATGTTGAAAATTAAACTCTTCATGTTTTTGCTCCTTAAGCTCCCATTTCTACCCATGTTCAATTAATGATACCACAGTTTGTCTAGACACTCAGGCTTAAGACCTAAGAACCATCACTAACCATAAGCAAGCCCTTTCAACTCTGTCTTCATCAAGTCTCAACTCCTGTCACTTATCACCATGTTGCCTAAATGGCTCTCATCATTTCTGTCACTATAGCTTCCAGATTAGTCTCCTTAAATCAACTTGTGCACTCATGAGGTCAGTTTTTCATACCCCAGTCAGAGAGACTTTTGGAAAATGCAAATCAAATTGTGTCACTTGCTTCCTCAAAACTCTTCAGTGGCTTCCCATCAAATTCAAAATAAAATCAGACTTTTTGCCCTGATGTTCAGAGCCCGGCTGGTGTGCCTCTCCACACGTACCTCTCTCCCTTCCCCTGAGGTTCTCTCTCTCACAGTTCTTCAGTCACATGGACTGTTTCAATCTTCCTTAAATAGACACCACTTATTTCTGCTTCTGGCTAATATTCTTCGACTCATAATTTCCTTCACGTAGATTTCCACATACTTTACTTCTCAGGATGTTTAGCTCTCTGCTCAAATTTCACTTTTCAGGGAGACCTTCCCTGACCCCCTAGTCTAAAAGGCACCACCCTTAGTAATATCTCTTCTTGTCGTCTTTCTCTCTCATAAGTTTTCTCTCTTCCTTATTCCTCTGCCTCACTCCACTTGGCTTTGCTTTTCTTCATAATATTTACCCCTATCTGAATGAATGAACAGAATGTGGTTGGAAACATTTACATAAATACCAACTTCCTTGTTTGAATACAAGCCTTTAAAAGAACTTAACCTTTTTATATTGCTTTTTCTTATTACAATATGTGGTGTGTCCCTCATTCCTTTGTAATCAAAGCTTCAGGAGTTTTCTCTATCTTAACACTAAAAGTAAAAAAAAAAATTCAATGCAGTCACCTTTCCTAAAGTCAGAGGTACTGAGTATACAACATAAGCTGCCTTTCCTGCAGGTAGTCTCCCAAGCCAGATATGACCCTTGATTAAGTAGCTTCTCAAAATCCTATAATCTCTACTTCTGGGGAGTTAAAGGAAATAAAGAATACCTCTGAGAGGCATCATTTGAACTATAATATAGTCCTAAGTTATATAAGGCTGTCTTTACAATTGTGTAGAAAGCATATATAATTTCCATATATATGTATTTATACCCCATGACATAGAATTATATATGCAAATTGCATAAAAACTAATTCCCTATACAATCAAAATTTTTTAAAAGCCTTCTCATTTTACTTCTCCAGTCAAAAAGTGAGTTCTTTCACAATTCGACCTACATTGCTAAATATATTTCATGTTCTCTGGTGATAGGTAAAGAAAGAGACCAAATCTACAATCTGAGGCCAAATTACATACTGGGATACAATTTATGAGATTTTTAAAAGAAGCCAAAACAGATAACCAGTGCTCACTTTTCGTGGTTAGGCATAACATAGTTTGAATGAAAACATTGAATGGCCCTAAAAACAAAGTGCCATTTGCAGCTGTACAGCACATTGCACGCCCCAACAACTACTGACAAAGAGCATGGGAAACCTCAACTGCAAGTTCAGTCCTGCCATCTGCAGTTTGGGCACATTTTGGCATTTTGGCATCAGTAGATTT